CTCACCTGTGCTGGAACCGCCAGGGACAACATTGGTGCCAGGGAATACCCCAGTGGTGCCTGAAACAAAAAGGGTCTGCCGTCTTCATGGGGACTAGCGTCTGTCTCCCGAAGGCCTACCCTTAGGAACACTGTTGGTGTATCGGGTTAGAGCAGAGGGCCCTGGCACTACTGCCGATGAGGGTGAGAATCTGTGCCCATCCCGGGTCCCAGATTATTGAGTAGCAGTACGAATCGTAGTGTTCCCAGCATGAGTCACCCTCTCCAGGCATTGCCTTCACTTTAGGACGGAGGTGCAAGTGGCTTTCTCACAGGCTCACCTGTCCCGCTCCCCGTTGATCCACCTGCTGGTACTCCAGTGGTGCCTAGATCAGAAAGAAAACCAGAAAATCACGACAATGTGCCGAGGAAAACGGTCAAAATCATTACGCTGCTTCTGAGTAGGGAAATGTATCTATAAGGATAGGCCTCCTTAAGGGTGCGCTGAGCTGTCTCCTTCTCTCTGGCCTATAGTACTCCTCAGCTCCCCGGACACCTGCGAGATGTGAATGCCATCACAAGACAGACCTCCCATACGGACCTCACCACCCGCTCATTAAGAGAGTTTCCGCTGTGAGGCATGAAGCCACTTGTGAGCGCGGTCACCTCTTACACTAATCTAGGAAAAATGATTGGCCATTGCGATCAACGCTGCAGGACAGCCCACTTCCAAACAGGCCAGCCTAGGAAGAGTCACAGATACTGCTAAGCCCGAGTCAGTAGGCGCCTCAGTCTCACCTGGTCTGGATCCAGTGCCAGGAATGCCACTGCCTTCTGTTGAAGTTGTGGCCTCTGAAAGAAGAAAGGGACGAGTGGGGAGGCCTGCGGATTGGGGATTACAACGGAAAAGTTTACGTGGCCTTTCATCAGAGCTGGTCTACCGACTGCAGCAAGAGGTCTCATGTGAAGACTTCTTCTGGTAACCTACCTGTGCGCGAACTCCCAGGTAGCATGGTGGTCCTAATGAATTGCCCCGTAGCACCTAATAATGAGAGACACAAGGCATCCACAGAGCTACAGCCCATCTTCCAAACGCACTAGACACGTCCCTGAATGCCCAAAAGATCTTCCCTTAGGATCTCGATTTATGAAGCAAATGAACTATCACTGATTTTTCCAAAATGGTCTTTCCTGGCCCACCTGCTGATCACCGTGGCCACCGGAGTCCCCTTTCCCAAGGAACCCACCGCCATTGCAGGGAAAGGTGATGCCACCCTTACCTGTTGCGCTTCCAGCCCCGGTGCTTCCTGGGGTGACAGAGGTGCCTAAGGCAGGAAAAGTACACATGATGGGTTCATCGTTCCAAATGATCCTCATCAATTACTTGATGTACCTGTGTCCTATGGCCACTTTATTGAGCCCCGATATGTCATGGGTCTCTCTTTGGAGTGGATGTGGGAAATTTCTCTCCATGTTTCTATGCATCAGTCACTAGGTTGCCTTCATGATGCCCTAGTGAAGGTTCTTGGAAGCTGATGCCATGAGGAGGCAAGGTAAGGACAGGCTTGTCTGTGTGACAGCTGAAATTTTCTGTATCACAGTTAGGGAGTGTGGACACAGTTTCCTAAGAACGTGCTAAGGGGGCCTCACGGAGAGCATGATTGGGCTTAGCAGCGCTCACCTTTGCTAACTCCAGCTCTGGTTTTGTGACTTTCTCCTGCGAAGGAGTGGCCCCCGAGAAAGAGAGGGTACATAGCAAGAGGGAATTGGAGAATACGTAGGGGTCATGGAAGAGAGATGGGGGTGCTTCGCAAGAAGAGGACACGAAAAGCAACACCAGGAGACATCTAATTAGCGGTGCGACATCGAGAGGTACGTGTGTTACACCTTGTTAACTCAGCTGTGTTGAAACTTCCAGGCACAAAGGTTGTGCTGGTGTTAGCTTTTGTCGTGTCAAATAGAAAAGATAATTTTGGTAGCACATATTATATTGTTTTGTATATTCATGCCTTTTAATAATTAAGTATATTTTCATTCCATATAACATGCTTCCTTTTCACTTGTTCTTTTATCATATGCCCTATGTATTTTATCCTCATCTGTTTATTACCAATACAACTACGCTTCCATATCCTGCAATTCAGACAACGTTCATGGCAACTTTCTCTGTAGGTGAAACTGTCTCGGATTTTCCCTCACTTTACCTGCTTACTTTCCTCTCAGTGATATTATGATTATACAGTCATATCTGCTGTGGAATGGAAACAGAATAAAAGCATGATGGTGCTGAGAACTTTATATTTTGGGAATATACTGTGCTCCTCATTGCTTTCTTATGAAAGCAGCTATCCTATATGGGGCCAGCATTTTTCCTGTGTTAATGTAACCCTCATCCATGTCTCAGAAAAAGAAAGTTTCCTCACACTTTCGTCTTTAAAGGCTTATAATATTTGCATTTTACTGGAGATATTTCTTAAAAATTTGTACAATCATCCCATCTTCTGGGATCACAGCTATAATTCTGAATTTTGTTATTTGTAGATTTTGAGGACAAATTTTCAAACTGTGAATGCAGCAGTTTGTCACCAATGCAATGTTAGTAAAGTAAATATGAACTGCTCTTCAGAAACCCTTTCTTTTTCTAGGCTCTCCTGTGAGCATCGTAATTACTGGTAACAAGAACCACCCTGTGGTTCCAGCACCTTCTGTGGGAATTGTAGCCTCTGATAGAGGAAATAGAAGAGGAAGTTCTGGGTTTCTTTTAATACTGGAAGAGGTGTTTTGTATTATTTTCTCAGAGCAACCCTACAAAAAGCTTCATTTTTTGAGTATCCATAGAGATGGTTTTCTGATTATTTCAACTCTACCTATGTTGGAAATACCTGTTTTAACAGGTCTCTAAGCTCTGGTAGAGTGCTGTGTGACACACTGAGTATATGGAATCTAATGGTGAGCTGGACAAGTATCTAAATCAAACACATCATCACAGATCACAGAAAGATTTGAAAGCAGTTTTACTTCAGTGGACAAAATAAGAGAAAAATACCTGTCTTCATGGACCTTATATTTGAATGTACATGCTAAAAGAATGCAGAAGGGGGACAATTTTGAAAAAGTAAGATATTCTAAAGAACAGATTTTTTTCATTATCTTTTAAAACTGTTAAGTATTAAAAGGGAACATCAGGATGCAATAAAAGCTAAAATTTTTTCATGAAAATTATGGGTGACAACACTAATATGCTGAGAAATGTGATACTGTCATTTTTGAGTGAGGGGGCTATTTCTAGATATATTTTTATTTATTTGATTGATTTTGTACGTTTGTATACAACCAATGTAAAATTTACCTACTATGTATGTAAGAGATTCCGCACATCTTTGTTTTAAGGGGGCACAAAAACAGATAAAACAAAAGTCCTATGCTACCAAAATCTAATTTGAAGTTTATGTTGTGTTAATCTGATAAATTAAGACTTCTGCTATCATATTTTCTATTCTATTTACTGTAACAAAATTTTTAAGTGTATATTTATAATCTTATATTTTCTCACCTGTTATGTTAGGTGGTGTCGGTGGCACTAAAAATAAAAAAAAGAAATATATACACATAAATGTACATTTTTATTTACCTCAATTCATAAAGACTATACTTTGGGAAGATTATCATTGTCCTTTAGTTATTTTTCAGTTCTGAATTGGAAAAGTTGGAAATATTATTTCAAACCACATTATACAGAAGCTTATATTTGTCATTTTAATTTCAACTCACCTATGAGTTCTGGTAGAATGACCTCTTTGGAGACTAATAAAAGAAAGATTAAATTCATGTTTCAATTAAAGAACATACTTCTTGAATTTCACTTTTAAAAATTCACTTCAGTGCTTCAACTGTCATGATATATAATTTTTATTCAATTAAAAAACATAAGTATGATATTTCTATAGAGGTTTATATTAGAAATTAAAGTCACTTTTGAGAGATCCCTTGGGACAGAAATTGTTAAGTGCTCTTTTAAGGAATCGACTATGAGTTACAAAGTATTAAACTAAAAACAAAACCACTGCTTTTTTTCTCAAGTAAAATATTTACACATATGTAATTCTTGTTTGGTTTGATTTAATTAAAGACTAAAGTCTTTTTTTTTTTTTAAGCTGAGCCATCCTGCTACCTGTTGGCAGCTCAGAGGCTGCTCAGCTCGGGCCAGGAATTGAACCGCTGTTGCTCAGAGTTCAAACCCTTGAGCAAGCTCTTAACCAACTGACCCACTTGGCCGGCACTAAAGACTAAAGTCTTGAATTTGGGAAATCTCCCCCCCCAAAAAAAATAGATAATACATACTGTGTCCCAATAGTCACATATATTAGTAACTATGGCATTAATTTATAGTATAATTATGGTGTTCAATATACAATATGAAGCACATAAATTCATTTACACTTACATAACCATTGATTGAATGAATAAAGAATAATTATGAATTTAGTCTGGCTCAAATTATTGAATTATTTTCTAATGGCTAGTTTGTAAAATAAATTTATATAAGTGGAGTTTGTAATAGCAGTTAGAATAGATAAGCATAAATCTTTACCAGAATAAAAATTACAAGCAATATATTCTTTAAATAATAGAGAATTTAGTCACTAAAACTTAGGTCTATTAGAACCTAGTAGGTTCTAATAATTAGTTCTAATAATTAACCTGCAAATTGAGAAATGATGTCTTTCTCAAGTACCATAATGAATATTACCAGTCCAGAAACTTAAACAATAATGTATTTAGCCTTGAATAAATTATTTAGTCCCATTTATTGTTAGCAAAAAACTGCCCTGTATTTGTGAATTTAATGTCAAGTTGGAATAAATGAAAAAAAAATGGAAGTGATAAATTTTTGATTTGCAAAACAATAGTATTATAATTTTACCAAGTTGGAGATCCCAAATCTTGCTGTTTCAGAATGGCAAATGCTTGAGATAGTCTTGTTTAAGAAAATTAAAACCTCTTTTTATTACATTATGCTGCAGTTCTTATAGTTAGAAATGGAGTAATTTAAGTTTTGTATCTATTAAAGGCAAGCTTTTTAATGGGTCATTAAAGATCAGTGTTTATTTCCCTCAGATGACATTGTGGTGAAGAACAGTCTTTGGAGTAGGTAAACAATGGATAAGAATATGGGCTCCACTTTCTGATAGGCTGTAGAACCTGGACCAACTTAGGTAATGTCTTTTCTAAGTTCCTCATGAGTAAAATGAGATAACAAAATTCATTCAAATAGTTAAATGAAATAATATAATTAAGACATTGTAATTATTAACTCTGTTGTTATAATTTTACCATTTTTAATTAGCCAATGAGCATGAAAAGAAGTAAAAAAAAAAACCCCAAAACCCAAAAATACCCACATCTGACATCCTTTGCTTACATACCAGTGGTGGAACTTCCTGATGCAATTGTTGAGCCAGGGGTGCTTCTTATAGAACCTGAGATTAACAGCAGATAGTCATGAGCATTGTTAATTTTGGGGACACTATCTGGGTATTAACAACGTAACTACTTTGAGTACAGATGTTGTACTTTCAGTAATGCTGTGAAAGTACCTAACTAAATATAACGTCCTAAATATTGGATGACTGGGACTTGGTTTTCTGATGTTTATGTTTATAAAACACTAATATCAATTATTAGACTTATCAGAAAACCTTATATTCAGCCACAATCTGAGCCAATATCTCCTGTTCCCACTCTAATAGCTTCTCTTCCCACTCTCCTGATTTTCCAGGTGTGGTTAGTCTGGGTTTGCTTTCACCTGCTTCAGCGGTTTCTCCATATGGTTCTTCAGTTGTGACTGGTTAAAGGGATAATTGATTATTATTTTACATAATTTATTTTAGTAAAAATAATGAATTTAATTCCATTTAAGTAAATTTAAAATTTAAATGTTAATAATAAATCTAGAACGTATTTTAATCATTCCTTCAAAAATTTGGTCCTTGGTTAATTTAACTTAAATTCATCATCATAATTTGGGTCTCAGTCATGCTTGTGCTGGATTACACAGATGAGACTTGCCTGCTTGGTTCACAGCAGAGGAGGCCCCAGAAACTGTTGTTCCAGTTGTGGTTCCCCTGCTTGCCCCTGTGATTGTTCCTACTGACACTCTAACTGTACCTGGTCAAAACAAAAATAAAAACAAAAATAAAAATAATAAAATGTGGCAGAAATGAAAACAAAATTCTTATGAAGTATGAGAAAACAATTAAAAAATATAGTATTCGACAACACTCCCATAATTATTCAAAAATGTGAGTTCTAAATGGTCCAACTCTG